GAGCACTGCCTAAACTGAGGTGCACTTTGTACTGAGACATACATCAACATATTCGTCTCTTCAAGAATCTTCCTCCAATCAAATTCATGCAGCAGTAATTAATAATGTACAAGATGGAAAGCAATTCACGTGCATTTGTACTTGTTGTGTTGAATAGAGAAACACTTGCAGAAAGGCTAAAATACATATACACGCATGAAGATTTTTTTTTTTTTTTTGGACAAGAAACAATTCTTCATTGATATATGAAAAGGATCGAAAAAGTTCAAGTACGCAAGTTCCCAACGGAAATGAAAAACTACAAGAAAAAAAATAAGCCTAAAAGTACAAGAGGATAAAATAATGAAAAATAACTAGAAAGCAAACAAAAATACAGCCAAAAATCTAAAATAAAGAGCTCCAAAATGCAGAAGCTTCTTCTGGAGGAAAGTATAGCAAAAACACAAGGGCTTGAAACTTAGAAAAGCAGCTTGAAAAAATGAAGTCAATAAAACAATATTCAAAGACACCCTTCTTTTATAGAAAGAGATATTAGACTAATGCACGCCCTTAGAAGCCTTCCAGAACCCTCTAAAATTCCAAAGAAAATCTCTTAAGAAACCATCAAGAGAAGATAAAATTGAACATGCATGAGTATTATAATTCTAAAGAAGAGGGAAGATACTTGTTAGCTTCTCCTTTCACTTTCTTTGAGAACTCATTGAATACGCTGAATCTACGATTGATGGAGTAGCCATTTGGTAAGAGCAATTGTGATCTCGTACAGGAGCTCTACCAGAACAAAACCCAACCATAAATTAAAACAAACTTGATATTGAATAGCTTTACACCACAGATATCAATCCTATGAAGACTATAGTGGAGAAAGATGGGATAAGGTTCAAGCATAGGGAAGAAAAAATACCTCTTGGGAAGTAAGCTGATAAAACAAGCTTTGTCTCGAGAGAAATAAATCCCGAACCAATTTTTTACCAGCCATTAAGATTTAGTCACAGCAACTCTGCACATTAACTTTTTCTTTTAGAAAACAATAATTAACACAATCTAATTAGTATCATATGCATATAAAAGTTAACATGGAGCGATACTTCCTCAATGAACTAAAAATTTAACGCAATAAACCAATTTCCCTTCTCTTCTTCCTTGGAGCATGGTTCAAGTTTCGCGGAAATTTTGTAATGCTAAGAGAATCTAATGGCGTTACAAGTTCTGAAATCCAAAAAATTCTAAATGTAACCACAAATTTTCAACTTACTGAGGTAAAGCTACTTCTAACCTCGAAATTCTAATGCTATTGTTAGTAACCGAGAAAATGCAGAATAAAATAATAATAAAAGGAAGATTTTGGATTTTTAAGCCAAATTCTACCTTACCCCTGTTTAGAAACCTGAATTTGGAAGGAATTCTAATCAGTCCACGTGTTTGGATGAAAAATAAAATAGGAATTTGAAAACAGTGCCAATTTATATGCATCATAGTTTCTCCTACATTCAAGCAAACTCCACAACAGTTTTCTATTTTGTTTGACCATTGTATTTTTCTGTTCTTGTATAACTGATACCAATAATTTCAATCCTTTCAATACAGCTTTCCGGTTCCAACCAGTTTTTTATTTTTTTAGCTGAGAAAACTACATACAGGTAAGTTTCCTTTTTTGCTTCATTCATCTTCTTAAACTTTTTTTTTTTTTCATTATTAATTGATTTGGATAAGAATGATATGTTTGTTTGTTTCTTTTTACTTACTGATTCAATCTGTTTTTGAACATTGATTGAAGAAGAAACCAACAAAAAAGAAAAAAAAAAAAGATACTCTCGATTTTCTTCTTCGCGGAGAGCAGAATAAATCAACATAATTCAATCAACAAAACAAAATCAAAAAAATCAAAACCTTAGGTGTACGAAAAATGAGCAGCGGTGTGTGAATGGGGCGGTGCGACCTCACCAACGGCACAGGTTTGAGGCTAAACCACTGAAAAAAGAATAACAACAGAGATAAGTAACTCTGGTTGCTCGGACAGGCGAGAGAGTTTGAGAGGCAAGGAACGGGGACAATTTCGTCGGGTGTCTGAGACTGCAGCAGCTGGAAGTGCAGCGTCGGGTAGGGGTGGCGGCCGTGGAGCGGCAGGGCGGGGTGCAGTGGCTGGTAATGGGAGGGAGTGGCGGCAAAACGTGAAATAGGGTTTAGGCAAAAACAAATAGAAAGCCAGGATGGTTGAATAGAAGGAAAAAAAAATTAAAAAATAATAATAATAATAATGAAAAATAAAAAGACGGCCGAGTCTGCATACGGAGAGAAGGGAAAGGAAATACGGAAAATAAAACAAGTAATTAAAAAAATAACAAATAAAATTTAAAAAAAAACATGTTTTTTTCTTTAATTCTGGTTTTTTTTTTCTTTTAGTATTCTATTTTCTACCCTGTAAAATAATCTCCTAAATATAAAATTTAAGTGATGTCAATAAGTCCTCACAGCTTTGACGGGAACTTTGACTCGATTTCTTATAAAGATGAATTTTTCATATGGGCTCGACTCGGTTTCCTATAAAGATGAATTTTTTCTCGTATGGGCTCGTGGTTCAGATTGTTAGGAATCTTTCCTATCATAGTTATAATATGAATGGTACAACCATAATCAACCCATCATGTATTGGAATCAAAATATACCATGTCTTAAGTTTTAGGTTATTCTTTTGATAATGACCCAACTTGCCGTAGAATAACACTTATTCTTAATTAGGTTCTTTTGGAGGATTGGAGCATATGGTCGATTTATTTGGACAATTACGAACAAAAAGATCAAATCAACTGAGACAATTTAGACCGTTTAAGCATCAAATCATCGACATTCGGATTTTTTGGTCCATAAAAGACCACTATCAATGAACAATAACTACAATTCTTATTTTGAGAGTTAACACCCATTGAGCTCTTTCAAGCCTTTTAGGTTGACCCTATCGTACCTTAGATTCAAATTTGAAAGTTATTTTTTTTCATATTTAGGCAATGCACATGATGACAGTAGCATGCACATGATGGTAGCTTGACTCTAGTGGTGATGTGGAAGTAAAAAAATATATTGCCTAGCTACTACAACTCTAGCTTGAACGCCCACTCTAAGATGCTAAAGTGGGATGTATGTCGCGACCACATAAATCGTCCAAAAAATATGTAAGCGATCGCTTCTCCTAAGTATCAAAGTGCAGTCGGGCGCGCGAGAATATCAATAGAAAAATTAGATGACTTGTTAGTTCTAGGATTCGAACTGAGGTGTGGTCGTAATTAAGCCTTGTATCCATGCGTGAGCCTATGCATAGAAGCTCCTTCCGTGGGTGGGGTGTGTGAAATCACATGTTAGGTGCATTTTTTTTTATGTTTGACCTTAGTTTGACTATCTTCCACGGTAGTTTTGATATTAAACCTAATATGACTTGAATTATGACCAATTGTTTGAGATTTGTAGCACCAAGCGGGTAGAATATGAGTGGATAAAGTGTCATAATCACGCTTGTCTAAGCCGCATTACCTATGGCTGCATGTCGAATGTTTTGGTCATGTTTATCTAAGGGCGTGTTCTTCATGGTCACATGTCCATTCCAAACCCCTTTTACTTACTTTCATGTATAGTCAGGTCTTTACTATTTTTGCTATGTCAATACAAGGGTATATGATCATGCTAAAATTCATCAAAGTGTACGACATATGACTAATGGTCAATTATTCCTATCTAAATTTGTGTTATCAAAGGTATGACGGTTGTTTATTTTCTTTTACCTTATAACCTTACTTTGTTTCAAATTGTTTTCAACTCATTTCCTCCTTGAACGGGACTCAAGGCTAGATCATAGTCGCGATGGTCCACGGCCACTGCAACCCAGTCCGAGCGTGTCTGCTAGCCCACAAACTCGACCTATTCCGCGTCAGCATCCAGAAACTTGCCCCAAATACAGATGAGCCCACGATCCACCAAAGCTTGGCCCAAATTCATAAGCCAACCCACGGCCTACACCCAACCCACAATCTGAACCGACTCGCGCAACCCTTGGCCCATGCCTTGACCCACGTGTCGCGCCTTGCTTAAACCCGTTGTTGACCCAACGCCAACCCGAAATTGTCTCCACGTCCAGTGCATTTGCGACTCCGCTGAGTCGACTACTCCCAACATGGCTTCGACAACTTCTAACAGCTCCTGGCGGCTTGGCGGCTTATTTGGCTTGAGATACCTGTTTTTTAGCCCCGTTTGACACGTCTAGTTCCTATCCTACCATTTTTTACACGTATGAAGCCACGTCACTATTTGAACAATTTCAAGTGTTTTAGCTAAAATTAGGGGTTTAGTTGTGAGCTAAGGAATGGGTTCAACCAATCTACAAGGGAGTGATCCCTTCCGCAAGTGGTTCCACACGTGCATCAGGATACTTCCTCCTTATATTTGGCACATACTCATACCGAAGCTCTATTCCCTCCGTGGTATACCGAAAACGCTAGTCAAAGATAAGGTCCAAGACGTACGTATACGAGCTCACCTTGATGCCCACGTGCTCGTACATGTGTTGCGTATAAAGCAATTCTGAATAGACGACGATTACTTTATTCCCTTTCTTGTTTTGTAACGGTTTAATGATGATGTTATGAACCGAACATATAAGTCTATGGCTCTAGTACCATGTTACGAACAGCGACCCTCCATATTAGTATGATATTGTCCACTTTAAACATAAATTCTCGTTAATAATTTTTAAATAATATATACTTTTTTCATTTCACAAATTTGTCATAAAAGTTACTTAGACTATGGTCAAAAAGATAGAAAGAAAAGAAAAACTTGGACATTTTAATCCATGGGTACCAGCAAAAAGTGACAAAAGTAGAGTTGGTAAATGATTTTATAGGGGTAAAAAGGTAATTTCGGTTAGGGGGAGAGCTTCTTTTTCAATAATATTAAATAATATCATTATTGTATTTAGAATTCCCTTTTTTCTTCCTTCAATTCAATTCAATGAAATTTCCCTTTCAATTCAAAGTTGGGACTGAAAATGAATCGACAAAATCAAACCCCAATTCCCAACGCTCTCAAAATCCTCTCCCAATTCGCCTCTTCGATCATTACAGTTTTTCAAATTTCAGATTCCATTCCAAAAGTCGTTTGATCGATTCGCGATTCTTTCTCTGTAATTTCTTTCCATGGCGTCGCTTCTCAAATTCAAGCTCCTTTCGACGCACTGCGGCGTCGCTCAGAGTCCCACTTTAAGCCCTAGAACCAGTCCTCTCCTTCACCTCCGCCGCCGTAAAACCACTCTGCGGATGCTTCTCACTCGGAATTTCAGCCGCCGGTCCCCTCGCCGCTGCGCCTTGCCGGAGAAGAACATAGACGACCGTAAGGATTTGACTCGAGGCAACAAGTTGAAGGACTTGTTCGTTTCGTCGCCGCCATATGATGGAACCGACGCCAGGATTAACGAGACGGCGATCGCGGCTCCTATCCGGAACGTAACTCCGGTTTGTAAGAAGAAAGCCGACGATCATATTGGATCGGCCGGTTGCAAACCCGGTTCACCTAGACCGGGTTGGACCGGCTTCCGGTACAAATACTTGCTTCAGAAAACTTGGCGGCCGGTTCTCGCCGGAATCCCCGAGTAATGAATGATTTATTAAAAAAACCCTTTCTATTATTAATGAATTAATTATATATATTCTCTGTTTTTTTAGTATAGTTTTAAATTTTTACTTGAAATTAGGGAAATAATTTGTGATTAATAGATTTCCCATGAGTGGGAATTTGCTTATTTTTGTGTTATGATGAGCTTTATTATTTGTTGAATTTTCAAATAATTTATTAATTAATGAAATCATTTCCAAATTTAAAGCTTAAACCTTGATATTTTTTTAAATTGTTTTTAATATAGTTCATGAAGTTTGTAATTTTGGACACCACTTTGACCATAGTCAAGATAGTGAATTAAATCGGAGTTAACAAATCTACTAAAGTGAATTGAGAATATAGAATTGATATAAGATAGGTCCCAAAATTGGATTAATTTAAGCATATGAATTGGATTAAAGTATTAATATGAGTGTGACATAGAATATACACTTCCTTTTAATATTTAAGTGGATTCTTCATTAGTGGGAGGACCCTCTTTTTCTTTTTCCCTTTATTCCATGAGAGATTCCATGAGAGATGTTTAAGACTTGGACTCAAATGCACTTCAAATTCCATAAGTTTATTGCCAATTGATAAAGTATAGATTTAATTTTGTAGTACGTCTTAGGGTGATTTTTCGAGATGTTTATTTTGAATCAATCTTTTTTTTTTTTTAGCGCCTTACTTTAATGACTTGAGCTTTAAATCTCAAAAAGAAGATCCAAATATCTACCAAAGTAATGTACGCTTAAAAAAAATTAAAAATAAAAAAAAGTGCAAAAATATCATTGACTAATAATGTTATTTTTGAACTTTTTAGATCGATTTAAGACGGTTCAAAAGGTATTTTTAAATTTTTTTAAAAAAATTTAAGGACATGAATAAAATTTTTAAAAATTTAGGAGTATTTTTTCTAGACAATTTTAACTACACAATAGTTTACGGTATCAATATTTTAATTTTTTTTTTTTATAAAAAGGGTGGTACCAAAAATGAATGATAAAAGATTAAAATAGTGGATAGAAATGAAAACATGAGATTTAAAATAAATAAAGTGTTGAAGTTAAAATGGAATAACAAAAAAAATATTAATTTATTTGTTTCTCTAAGGGGGTTGGGACCAAGAATATGGACCAGATATTCAAAGGCATATGAAACGTTTCCTTCACAAACACAAACAAAAGGCACTCAAAATTCCACTCCAAAAAGCAATGCATCTCACTTTGCATAAAAACCATCACCTTCCATTCAATAAATTTCTTTATATACCCTTTTCTTAATCTCAATTTGGTCCTTGTAGTTTTAAAATTTTCAATCTAATCCCTAGTATCCCGACTATCATCATGTTTAAAAACAGTTCTAATCGTGTCGAGACAAAGGTGAGAAGCTACATCCGAACTCCAGAGACTAAAAGAAAAAACTTAAAAAATCATAGGGATCAAATTGAAACTTTGTCCGAAGTCCCATCGGTCTGAATACATAGAAAACTTATGAAGACAAGACAACTCGAATTCGAAGCTACCAATAAAATATAAACTGCAATGAAATGAACAGAAACATAGTGATTATCCAACAACCAATAAATCTATTAATATAATTTGCTGGGCAGCTCATCTCCAAAATTCCTAGACTCGATCGGGTACAAGTTTGATATGGATATGGTTTCATTCACTCACACAGACATGTGGATGCTACAGTTTTTTCCATAGCAATCACCAACCAGTAAACATATCCAAAAATTCAGAGCACACGGAGAGCATGCGTTTATTCACCAACAGAAAATTTTATTATTCGTCTCTAAGACCAAGAGGGGGGAAAAAAGAGAGGAGGCAATCAAAATTTAATCAGTGTCTAGATGCTAACTGTTCTTTGTTCCCCAGAGGAATTCTAGTTTGCTTACTTGGTTGGGATTGTGATTGTTGTAAGCCGGAATCACTCTCTTCCTTCGAGTCGTCTCGGTTCGCCTTTTGGGGCTTCACATGGCTATTGCTATTCGAATTCAGATGGGGGGAAGGTTTCTCCTCGCCTTGAGGTATAAATTGCAGTAGAAACCTATGTATCATCTCATAGCTGGTGAAAGTTATTACGGCGGATGGAGTTGTTCGTAACAGATTTGTCGCACAACCCCTGTAAAAACCGGGAAGACCTTCCTTTTGAAAAACCTTTTTGATACAGTCCAGTACGCCGGAGTATTGAGGAGCAACATTTCTGGCTTGGCCTTGCTCTTGCATCCTGGAACGAACTACCTGGAGATGAAGTTTGAACAGGATAAAGTATTAACAAAGACACCAATCTAAGCACATCTCAACTAATTAAGTGATATATCCTCGACCAAGAGGACAATGTTTGAATCTCCTACACCCATATTTTCAAATACACACAACACATGCACCCATAGAGAGAGAGAGAGTTTAAAAACCTACCTCATGTGGGTAAGTCGTTACCGAGGCCATAACTTTCGACAATGACGAGGCAATAGCTAAATGTCCCGGAGTTAGCTTTTCAATGGTTGTGTTATCTGGAAATATAAATTTTTAACGATCTTGCACAATTAAACAAGTATATAACCATAGGAGGATTGTCATTACGTACCTCTTTTTGCCATATATGATTTGAGCTTTTCGTATGCTGGAAATTGAATGGCAACATGACTTATCCCAACCAATGAAGGGAGGATACCACTGTTTGTAGAACAAATCAAAGCCATGGCCTCATAATTATTACAAAAGTTAAAGAATTTAAAATAGAAACATAAAAAATAAAACGAGGAGGAAGTAAATAGTATATCATTAGTCATTATTTTCAAAAGGATATAAGTTTAGCACGATCACTCATTACAATCAAACGACAAATTCAGGTAAACATATATCACATCAAAACTTCAGTTTTCACAAACATGGTCAGAACAAACCTGTAAAGCCCGCGAATTCCTTCTTCCTGTATGATCCTGGTAAATGCTGAAACCATGCCTGTGTAAGGAACCACACCAGGCCTCATTCCCTGTGTCTGAGTTTAAACAAAAAATACTATGAACATCCAAAAGAATAACAATATAAAATAAAGGACTTAGATGTGCTTCAGTAAGATGGAGTATAGAAGACGAACTCAATGAAATGGAAATTTAAGAGCACAAAAACCTGATACTTACTTGAAGTCTGGTCTTAACAACCCATAAAGGATTTGTTGCAGTGGCAGTAGATCCCCCAGCCCCAGCAGCAGCAACCATATTTGCGCCGAACGAGAGTTGATGACCATCGTCCCCTGCAATCAAATAGCAAATATAATATTAATTACACAGAAGTAATTCAATCAAATTTAACCATTTCTATGGATTCAAGAATTGAACATATCCAAAATTCAAAATCTGAAATGGGAGGACTGCAACAGCATGTAAAGAAATAATGTTCGTAAAAACGAAAAAATCATTTGCCAATGAACCTCAAAACCAACCATCTGAATGAAGTATGCCTTTTAGATGCTCATAAACTGTGAAGTAGACCTACATGTGAGATAAGCAAATTTCGTCAATCGAAAAGTAGAAATAGTTCAGGTGATGGAAAAATGAGCCTGAAACAATAAATGGATGATGAATCTCATAAACATAACTTGTGCCAAAGTAAGGTCATGTGGAAATAAATTTTGGTCATAGTAATAATAAAATTATATAGTTATTTTTAATAATTTATTTTAGTACGAAATAGAAAGGTCAGCATAACATTCCACAGCAAAGTGTGGAAGTAAATCTTTATCCCACTTAGGTCCTACTGATACAAGTACATAAATCATCATTTTCTTTATTTAAAGGGCAAAACCAATGTCTCTTAGGAAGGATAAACTTCTGAATTGCCAGTTAGAAAAGAAACAAGAAAAAGAAAAACACTCAGATGCAATGAGTCGGGATAAAATCACATAATGCATTATGCACCCAAGTGGGGAAGAAAATAGATGATTAATGTCAACAGCGCAGCCCAGGAAGGATTTCCTGTATGAAAAGTTATGCTTGTACAGTTGCAAGAAATGAGACCCATCAAAAAGCCAGAACCCCAAGAAAGATAATGAAAAAGGAAAACAGAAGAAAGTCCTACAGAAAAGTGGATTTCATTAACTATTCATGAAATTCTAGTTCATGGACAAGCTTCAATATGGTGTCGGCCACTAACATGGGCTTAGGTACAAGCAACCAACCATAAAATTGATACATCAGTTTGGAAAAAACTGAAAGGTCTTAATGCTACTTTCCCAAGGAATATCCAATAAAATACTCACAGCCCAGTTTGGAAGAAGTGCTAATATTGTTGGTGAAAGGCCACGGTACAGTCCCCTGAAACCTTCAGAACGCATTATGTCTTGTAGGCTAGTGACAATAATACTACCTGGGTACAGGACAGATGAGATTAAAGAAATATAATCCATAAACATGTATACCAACCTGTACTTTCAGAAGCAGAAATGCTAATATCAGTTATCACATAACTAAAATTAATCCTTTGGCCACTAGTTTTCTAAGTCTTAATCCAGGTCAAATCCTTAGTTTGATTCTCAAAATCAATACGACCAATCACAACCAGCTGTTACAGCCATTCCAGGAAAACGTCCCAGAACAATGAAGAACAGAATAGTGAATTGATTCAGACCTCGAAATACATTGAATAATTAATTCTAAGCTTCCATCCAACTATAACGTTCAAAACAGAATCCCACCTTGGCTGTTGTTCAGCTTAGATTGTTCATATATCTCATTACCAATATAAAGTTAAACCCTCTTTGATAAGGATTTATATTTTTATTTTCTGTTTCTACTAATAGAGATAGTTTACTGACAACTTTACTGGTTCCATAATCTATTTCTAAACATGCTTTCAAAATCCTAATCAAAATCTACTAAAAAAGATAGTAATAGTATTTAAAAAATGGTTTTTCGTAGCTTAACATTGATGGAAGCTACCACCTATAAGGAAGTCATTAAATTCATTACCAGTTGAGATAAACTAGCATAACGACGCATCTAATTAGTGGCCTGAGATTACCAATTCATGGTATATTTGCACA